TTTTTGTTTGATTTGTTGTTGGTTTTTGTTTAAGTTGTTTTGTTTGTTGTTGTTTTTTTGCTTGTTTTTTATCACTTTTTTTTGGGAGGGGGGTATTTTTTGTTCGTTTTGATCGTTGTGGGCTCGTTACGATTTACTCCGCCCTAATTAATAGTTTCTCAGCCAACAGGGGGGAAATGCAAAGCTAGGCGGTTCAAAGAAAATGTCCTCTTAACTAAATCCAAAGTTAAAGTTTAATCAGAAATAATATTTTCTTTGATTGTGGCGTGATAAAATAATAAAATTCTTTATTTTTTTTTACCAAACATCTCATTTGTCAGCTATTACATCCTCAGCTGTATCTGGTTGTTTCAATTTTTCTTCTTTTTTTTGTTGATTTGTTGATATCATTTGTGAGAGAAAAAATCACCCTGCAAAGAAAGACTGCCTTCAGGAAACCCAAAACGATGGCCATTGTTAATTTTGTCTTCAATATCCACTTGGTGACAGGGCTAGAGGTTATTTGATTGTTAGCTTTTCTCCAAACATCTCGGTTTTCCATGTGGGTCTTTTTGTCGGAGACAAAATATTAGATTCTAAATGGTAAACTTAAAAGAAATGTCAATGAATTTGCGAGGCTTTTCGTTCTGTGATTTAAGAGTGGAAAGGGGAAGATAAACTCAAGAAAAACCAAATAAAAATAAAAAAAGAAACAAAAATAGACGTTATTTGATCATTAGCCTTTTCCCGTGTGTCTTGGGTTTCCACTTCAGCCATTTTGAATGGGGATAAAAATAAACCGACTGAAAATAATTGTATGTCACTGAGAAAGCTAAGAGCGTTGCTTTGTGATAAGAGGAAGAGAAAAAAAGAAAGAACAAGGCAGAAATGAAAGACACATCCAAACAGATACAAGATGAGTATATCATTGTGTTAGTAAAACAGTGTATGGTTTGGTTAGTCTCCTGCGTGTGTGCTTCTCTCTCTCTCTCTCTCTCTCTCTCTCTCTCTCTCTCTCTCTCTCTCTCTCTCTCCCTCTCTTCTCTCTGCATAAACATACACACACACGCACACACACACACACACACACACACTCACACACACGCACACACACGCACAAGCGCAAGCGCAAGCGCAAGCACACACACGCACAAG